TGCTATTGCTCCAGTCCTCTGGGTCTCTTAATTGGTGTATTTAGATCATTGTCATTGAGAGAGATTGTTGTCATGGGATTTTTGTGCCATCTTTCTATAGAAGTTTGGTGTCTTTGTGTGGTTTGTCTTGCCTTAAGGTAACCCCTTCAGTTTTTCTCTCAAAGTTGGTTTGAGTCTATGAAATTCCTGAGCTATTTTTTTAATCTGTGAAGTTGTGTATTATTCTTTCAGATCTGATTGTGAGTCTGGCTGGGTAAAGGACTCCTGGTGAGGCCTTCATTTCATTAAATTTTTGTTTGTTTGTTTGTTTTTATTATAATCCCACCATTGACCTCAGACCTGGAGGGTCTCATTTAGTAGGTCTGCTGTAAATTGTAGGGATGCTCGTTTGTATGTAATTTCCTTCTTTGATCTGCTGCTTTTGGTATTGTATCAGTGGTTTTCATCATTCTGATTAGGATATGTCTTGGAGTCTTTTTATTAGGGGTCTTTTAGCTGGTACCCTTTGGGCTTCTTGGATCTGGATGCCTGCATTCTCCCAGCTCTGGAAACTTTTCAGCAATGATGCCTTTGACTGTACTTCCTCATTGGGGTTGCTTCCCTGCCTCTGCAACTTCAAGGATTCTTGTGCTGTTCTTTTTGAGTTATCCTAAATTTCTCTTGTTTGCCACCGATTTACTTTGTGGTTGTTTTTCTATCTTCTGCTGTTGCCTGGAGGTTTTTTGCATCTGATCTTCAAATTCACTGATTTTTGTCTGCAGCTGCTGTTATTGTACTATTGAGGGCATCCATTGAGTTTTCATTTTATCGACTGAATTTTTAAAATAATGGCACTTCTGCTTGTAGTTCTCTTATTTCTGCTGTCCTATCCTGTGATTTACTGAATGTCCATCCACTGTTTCTCTCATATTCTCCTGTGTTTTATTGGATGGCTGTTCTGCTGTTTCTTTGAACTCATTAAATATCCTTACTATTTTGTCTCTAATTTTTTATCAGAGATTATGTAAATGGATATTCTTTATTGAGGCTTCAGGGCCCCTATCTTCATCCATTCCCATGATGGACTTCTGCAGTTTTTTTCCGTGGTGCTTGAGGGAATCTAGAGGTGATCCTTTTATTTATTTATTTATTTATTTATTTATTGAATCACTGTGGGAAAGGTTACAAAGCTTTCAGGTTTAGGTCTCAGTCATGCAAATATCAAACACATTTCCCTTTACCAATACTTATTTTTTACCATGAATAAAATACCCAATAAAACCCCACCCCCACCCCTCCCAGTCCCTGTGAGGCAGATGAATTCTAGTTAACACTCTATCTGCTTTGATTAGATTCATTGTTTCAATAAAAGATTCACCACTATTATTTAGAGTTTACCCCCGCCGAAATCAGACATGCTGAAAAAGCATTGTGAAGTGATTTGCTTTCTACAGCTGGGTTCAAGAATTAAATGTTGGTTTTGGATTTCTGCTATTTTACTTATTGACCCTGGAAGTATTTCTACTGAAAGTCAGATAGTTAAGAAATTGGTCTCTGTGCTCTGGAGTCGTGGCCGTGCTGGAGAGCCACTCGTGGGGGGCAACTGGTGGCCTCGGTAGGGCGTGAAGGGCGGACCGAAACGCCCCCCTTCCCATGAGGTTTTAGTCGCCCCCACACCCCCGGCTCATACCTGCTGTCCACAAGGCTCCCATGCGGCCGCCATCTTTCTTTCCAGAGAGGAGAAGGCGACTGGGGCAACACCCTTTCCCCTCCGGACAGACATGATGACCTGGATTAACGCATAGTTCGTTCACTTTTCTGCTCCAAGCTGCCGGGTTCTGCATTAAGTCCTTGTGCTTCTGGGGCCGTGGCTGTGCTGGAGAGCTGCTCGTGGGGGGCAACTGGTGATCTCGGTAGGGCGTGAAGGACAGACCGGAACGCCCCCCTTCCCATGAGGTTTTAGTTGCCCCCACACCCCCGGTTCATACCTGCTGTCCACAAGGCTCCCATGCGGCCACCATCCTTCTTTCCAGAGAAGAGAGGGCGAATGGGGCAACACCCTTTCCCCTCCGGCAGACTTGATGGCCTGGATTAACGCATAGTCCGTTCACTTTTCTGCTCCAAGCTGCTGAGTTCTGCATTAAGTCCTTGTGTTTCTGGGGCTGTGGCTGTGCTCCAAACTTAACTCTGATTTTCAGGGAGAAACGTTGGGTGGTTTACTTCCCATTGATCACTTTGTATATAGAGAGATGTCGGCCGCGCAGTTTTGAGGAAAAGCCCTAGTTCCCGCATACTCGAGCTGTGCTTGTAGAGGCTTCTGGTCACCGGGGTTCCATCTGGGGGAAGCGGGATGTGGTACCTACCCCATCTGGGACTTCCCGATGATCTCGGCTCTTTTTGGAACCTGTTTTTTTTTTTTCCTCCGGGAGCTGTGGATCCCACCCTCCATGTGGCCCTTCTCTTCGGCTGTATCGAGGTGATCCTTTTTAATTCACTATTGCTGTCCCCGCCTCAGTGCCACAGAGGACACTGGGGGAACTCAGTGGGTGCTGGTCTCTTCTTTCCCCATCAGAGATACTCCCTTCCAATTGGTGTTCCTTTGTAATCATGTGGAGCTTCTTGCAGTGATTCAGGGACTGTGGTTTTGGGCCTGAACTTAATGCTAGTCTTTGATTTGTGTTGTATTTTTTCTTAACTTTTATGAGTTTTGGGGGGAATGTTGATTGGAGTAAGGGCTAATAGACTATTGGCCTAATGTAGTTGAGATAACCAGGCTGCACTGGTGAAAGTTCTGTATAAGAGACCAAGATGTGAATCTTACAGGATCCCATAAAGTAGATAATGCTTTCTATTTCCCAGTGATTTAGCTTTTCGATTCTCAGGCTTTCTGCTTCAAGATTTTCTTTTTTGGTGTGGGGATGGGGGGTTTGGACCACACCCAGCAGTGCTTAGGAGCTACTCCCTGCTCTGTGCTCGGGGATCACTCCTCATGGTGCTCTTTACTGTTGGGGAGATGGTTTTAAAGGACTGGAACACATGAGTGTAAGTCCTAGCTTTAATCTCTGGCACTGCATGGCCCTTGAGCACATCCAGGGAGTAGCCCCCCAAGAACCACCAGATGTGACTTCTTTTTCAAAAAACTCTTTTTTTTGAATATCAAATATTTTAATTCTTCAAGCATAACAATTTTTGTATTTGGTTTTTGGGCACAGTTTGCTGTTTAGGGCTCTGTGCTTAGGAATCACTTTTGGTGGGGTTCGAGAGACTTGTTATATGTGGTGCCTGGGATTGAACCTGGATCAGCCACATGTAAGACATGTGCCCTACCTGCTGTCCTTGTGTTATTTTATTTTGGCAAAATACTCCTCAAACATGTCAATCATGCTAATCATTTTAAAAAGTGCAGTTCATTAACAATTCATTCACAATGGTTTTTTGTTTTGTTTTGGGACCAGTTCTGGCTCTGCATTCAGGATCACTCCTGGCAAGGGTTGGTAACGATATGGGATGCTGGGGATGAACCTGGGTCAATGAGTCAGCCATGTACAAGGCAAGCTCTCTACTTGCCATACTATCACTCCAGCTCCTCATTCATAATGTTTGAACTCATCACGGTCATTTACTTCCAAAATATTTTATAGCCTCGAAGAGGAGACCTGTGTACACATTAAATAGTTGTTCTGGATTACCAATCCCCTATCCACGGAAACTATATAATGATTTCTATGTGTACGGATTTTTCTGTCTAGATCATTTTATATAAATAGAATAATGTTTGCTCTTTTATGTTTTTTTTTTTTACTTAGCCTGATATTTTTAAACTTCATTTATTTTTTAGCATCTATCAGTATGCCATTTTTTCTATGGCTGTACCAGTTCCATTGTTTAAATTTACCATATTTTATTTTTTCATTTGTGGATGGACATTTGATTGCTTAACATTTTGACTATTGTAAATAGTATTGCTAGGAACATTTGTGTACAATTTTTTCTTTGAATGCTTATTTCCAGTTCTTTGGGGTATATAACCAAGAGTATAATTACTAGGTCATATGGTAATTATTATATGTTTGACTTTTTGTGGCACCATTTTACATTCTGAATAACAAAGCATAAGGATTCCGATTTCTCCAGTTCTCCGCCAACAAGTTTTTGTTTGTAATTCTAAGTTTATTCTTATGTTATTTATTCCCCTTCCCATCCCTTTTGTTGTTACCCTAATGACTGGTTTGTGTGCTTGCACACTTCTCTTGTGCTCCTTGCCAGGCTCTACACAACTTAAGTTGTGGTATTTGCATACACACTTGATTGCAGACACCAGAGAGATCAGGCACTTTCTTGAGGTGACAGGAATCCCTAAGGGCAGAGCTTGTGGTGTGAACTCACAAGCTCTGTACTTGAACTTGGCTTTACAGCCCTCTCAGACTCATAAAACAGGTACTTTTGCCACTAAGCTATTCTGAGAGGCCTCCTGGAATATATCTTATCAGATATATAACTTGCAGCTGGAGCGATAGCACAGCGGGTAGGGCGTTTGCCTTGCACGGTGGCCGACCCGGGTTTGATTCCTCCGTCCCTCTCAGAGAGCCCAGCAAGCTACTGAGAGTATCCCACACACATGGCAGAGCCTGGCAAGCTCCCTGTGGCATATCTGACATGCCAAAAACAGTAACAAGTCTCACAATGGAGATGTTACTGGTGCCCACTCGAGCAAATCTGTGAACAATGGGATAATGCTACAGTGCTATATAACTTGCAACTATTTTCTCCTTTTCTGTGGGTTACCTTGTCACTTTCTTAATAACATCCTTTAAAGTATAAAAGTTTTACTTTAGGTACAGTTCAAATGTTTTTTCTGTTGTCTGTGCTTATGTTGTCATATTTAAGGAGACATTGTATGAATTATAGTTGTATTAATTTTATTTACATATTGGCATTAAAAATCCAGTAGATAAAACAGTCATTTATTTTTACATGTGGTTTCCATATGACTCCTTTGATTTGTATATTTGCTGTTTTAGATTCATAATCTAGAAGACCGTTTGAAGAAATACGAAAAGAATGTATATGGAGCAAATGCAGAGACATCTAAAGGTAAGAGTGAGCTCATGGCTATTTCTTAATGGCTTTATGGATGATTTTTATTTTTGTCTATGCTAATCTAATTCCTTATATTTTATGTTTTTAATTTTCCATTAACAGCTGGTTTTAAAGGAAGAAATGGTAGTAATCTAAAACTAATAAAGGCATGTTTACTGTTAAAAAGAAGAGCTGCACTTTTAAAATGTAACCACAAATTCCTGTTATTCCCCACTTTGCAGATGAATGTGGTTGGCAATTTGTATTTTTCCAGATTATTCTTTATGTATGCAAATATTTACATAATCTGCTACATGCATTCATATACACACAGGGTTATGTATTTTAGATCTTTTTTGGTTGTTGTTGTTGTTGTTTTTTTTTCTGTTAACAGTCATGCTGTAGTTACTGTTTTTATTTTATTTACTTATTTGGGGGCCTCCCAAGCAGTGCTCAGGGGCTCCAAGGAGCCCCTTTTAGCAATTTCTCAGCCATCCTGGTTGGCAGTTCAATTCAAGGTCCTGAGAATTAACTGTTGTTCAGGCCCTGCCTTGCCAGGCAGACCCCAGGCCACACTAGCGGTGCTGGGACCTGCAACGCTGCTCCTGGGGTTGTTTCAGGACTGTACCTGGTGATGCTTAGGGGCTGATGTGATGCCTGGGGTTGAACTACAGTTGGCTACTTGGAAGACTTGAACCTTGATCCCTCAATTTGTGACCACTACTTTTACTTTATTTTTATTTTATTTTTTTGCTTTTTGGGTCACACCTAGCGGTGCCCAGGGGTTACTCCTGACTCTGTACTTGAAAATTATTCCTACTGGTGCTCAGGGGACCATAGGGTATTCTGGGGATTGAACCGGGGTCAACTGCGTGCAAGCAGATTCCCTCCCTGCTGTCCTGTCTTTCCAGTCCTGACCACTATTTTTAAATCAGAACTTAAAGAGAATAATTTTATAGACATTCTTGTTGTTGTTGTTGTAATTTGTTTGTTTTGGGGTCACACTCAGTTGTGCTGGGTATTGTACCCAGGCCTCCTGCATGCAAAGCATGCATTCAGCCCTTTGAGCTATCTTTCCAGCCCCCAAACTCCTATATTCAATATAACAATGTGAGATAGAATGATGTGGATATACTGTTCTCTTGATTTAAATAATGTATGCCACATTCAAAGAATTTTAGCCATGAACTTCAGTGTTTAGGTAGTTGTCACCTTGAGATAATCATGATTTTTGAATAATCTCATTATTCATTCTGTTTCATTGCCATGCTACATTAAAAATAGTTTTATTTTGCTAAATATTTTGTAAAGCTCTTTCATAGGAGGTGGTAGGGCATGAAGCCATTTTGCATTCTTTTGTGTTTTTGAAAACTTGCTATGAAATAACATAAAATATGCAGTTTTTAATTAAATTAAAGGATTTGCGTTGGATTCTTTCCAAAACGCTCTTCAGAAAGAAGAGAAAACCAACTTGGAAGTTTCCTGCAGTTCATTGCTGGGAAGATTCATGCTACAGAGATTGTTTGCCATGGCTGAGTCAACATATGTGACTCTTAGCAGAGAACTGGGTTGAATCAGTGCCCAGCAGTGTGTGGAAAACAGTATTGATTCTTTAGGTTTGTTTCAGCTTCAGAATTCCACAACAATTTTCTTTTTTTCAGTTTTAAATTGTAAAATGGATTCATATGTGCAGTTTTACTTAATAGATAACATACAAAATACTAAATGCTAAGCACTGTTAGACATACATTTTGTCCCGACTTGTTGAATCCTTTCAACACCTGAGCCTTCTGATTAAATATAAACATTAATTTCATTGCATTCTGCTTTGTTATAAAGTAAGAATGAGGGGCGAGAGAGTACAGCAGGTAAATTGCTTACCTTGCACTCAGCCAACTCCCGTTCTATCTCTGGCACTGCATATGGTTCCCTGAGTACAACCATAAATGATCTCTAAGCACTGAGCCAGGAGTAAGCCCTGAGCACAGAGGAGGTTGCTGGGGTGGGAGTTGGGGTTTGGCACCCAAATAAAAAAAAAAAGGTGAGGGTGAAATGACCACCTGGTGTGCAGGAAGAAATAAAATGTTTTGTAGTTCTTTGTTGTTGTCTCTTTATACTGTCTTTATTTGAATACCCTTCATACTTATTGTTTTTCTGATTTTCCTAATTTTCTTGTACATCTTATCATTTGCCACTTTTCCATATCCTTCTGAGCAAAATTTTACTTAGATTTTGCTTGTTTGGAAATTTTAAGTAGCTAATGTTAAAACAGGTGTGAAATTATTATTATTATTACTAGGTTTTTGGGTTACACCCGGCAATGCTCAGGGGTTACTCCTGGCTCTGCACTCAGTAATTACTCCTGGCGGTGCTTGGGGGATCATATGGGATTCTGGGAATCGAATCCGGGTTGGCCACGTGCAAGGCAAACACCCTACCTGCTGTGCTATCGGTCAGTGGGCCGACCTGGATTCGATTCTTCCGTCCCTCTCGGAGAGCCCGGCAAGCTACCAAGAGTATCCTGCCCGCACAAGCAGAGCCTGGCAAGCTCCCTGTGGTGTAGTCCATATGCCAAAAACAGTAACAAGTCTCACAATGGAGAAGTTACTGGTGCCTGCTCGAGCAAATCGATGAGGGAGGACAGTGCTACAATGTTAAAACATTTTATTGAGAACTCATTTGAACCTTTTCAAAACTTAAAATTTCTTTTCTCTCTGTTTTCCCCCTTTGTTGTCAACTTACTTGTACTTGAGTGTAACACATTCTGAATTCTTGGTTCTCCATCCCATTGTAGTTAGATTAGGATCTCGATGAGATTCCAGTCTGCATTGCTGGCATTCATACCCATAAAGAGACCAATGCAGTACATGTTACTGCCCATCAAAAGACACATTGTACTTTGTCATTTAACATTTTTTTCCTACAGTGTCAGGTGTTGCCTGTCTGATCCATGTTTAGCAACCATTGATGGGTGACTTTCTAAATTTGTTCTTTCTTTACTCCTTGTGTAGTGGTGATAGTTCACCATTATACAATGATTTTTGGCAAACATCTTTATTTGTACAATAACTAATTTCTACTCTCACTCCTGTCATTTCTTGAGCATGTATTTACTGAGATTACTTCTGTAAGTAGAATGTTTTCCACATTGTCTACATGGTTACCTTGATATCTATCTCTGGAAATTCGGAATAAATTTATATATTGCTTTGTGTTTTTGCCATATGGGGGATTGAATTGGGGGGACAGCAATGGCCATTTTGTCCATATTTTGCAGGCCTGTTTCTGGTATCTGTGGTCTGTTCCATCTACTCATATTTGTCTGCTTTATTACCTCACTCTTAATTATCATGATATTATGATCTTATTTAGCCTTATTATTGGGTTAGAGATAACCATCTCTATTTTCTTCAAAAATATCTTAGCTAATCTTAGTTTTTTTTGAAAGTTCATATAAGGGCTGGAGCAATAGTACAGTGGGTAGGGCATTTGCCTTGCATGCATCTGACTCGGGTTCAATCCCCAGCATCCCATATGGTCCCCCAAACACCACCAGATGTAATTCCTGAGTGCAGAGCCAGGTGTGACCCCTGAGCATCGCTAGGTGTGACCCAAAAAGCAAAAAAAAAAAGTCCATATAAAATTTACAATCAGATTTTCAAGTTACTAACATGCAAAATAGGAGAATTATGATTAAGATGGATTTTATAGAAAATTAAAGAGATGGATTTTATAGAAAATTAAAGAGAATTGGCATGCATTGAGTCTCTAATTCATAATTATAAGGCATCTTAACATTCACTTTGGTTTCATTTAATTTCTGTCAGGCAAATTTACTGTCCTGTGTAGTAATCTTATACCTCTTTTATTACATTTACTTTTCCCTGTAGAAACAAATGTGAAATTTATTTCTTATTTTTATTTTCTAATTAAATTATTGCATTTTCAAAAGGCATTCTAATGCATTTTTGAAGAAATCCTGTTTTAACTAGATAATTATCTCTAACATACTTAGTTGATTAAGATTGTGTAAAGTGTAGTTAAATGGATTTTTCAGTTAAACATTTTGAAATTGGACCCAGATGAAGTTTGGCATTAAAAATGTTGAACAGTACCCAAATAAAGTTAATTGAAAAGACTTCATAAGAAGCAATGGGTAGACAATTTGGCAAAAATCTTTATTTGCACAATAACTAATTTCCACTCTCAATTGCTTAAAACCCAGAATAAGAATTATAAGAAAAGAAATTTCTTTCATATGCTTCCACTTGGGAGAATGTGAAGATGGGTACATACACTGAAAAATTGTATTAAGTGCTTTTCCATAAAAAGTAACTATAAATAGCCTCCAGGTTTAATAAAATAATTTGTTTTCTAGTGTAAAACATTGTAAACTCTTGCATTTAGAGTTGTTCTAGAAGAGACTATCTTGCCTTTTTTTTCTATTTTTTATTATTTTTTTAAAATCACCTTGAGATACAGTTACAAAGCATTCCTGTTTGAGTTTTAGTCATACAATGATCGATCACCCAACCCTCCACCAGTGCACATCTTCCATCACCAAGGACCTCAGTATTCTCCCCCTATCTGCCTGTCTTTATGGCAGACAATTTCCCCCATACTCTCTTTTGTATTGTTTGTTATGAATTGCATAAGATGTTGTGCAGTCACTGTTGTGGCCGCCTGCTCCAGGAATTCTAAAATTTTAGATAATTAGGATCTGGAGAAATCTCTGCAGTGAGCTGCTCAGTTGAGATTCTTTTGTATGTCTCTGGATAATGGCTGTTAAGGAGCTTAAGCAACAGTCAGAGGCATTTTGTGCGTGTGACCTCCAGAGCCCCATGGGGAGGGAAGGGGGTGATGAGAGAGACCAAACCAACCCCTATCACTTGAGGCCAATCTGTCTGTCTATCTTGTCTATCTATCTAGTTCAGTTGTTTTTGAATAACACCTGGCAATGCTCAGTGGCTATTTCTGGCTCTGCACTCAGGAATTACTTTTGATGGAGCTTAGGGAACCGTGTGGGATGCTGGGGATCAATCCATTGTTGACCACGTGCAAGGCAGCTCCCTATCTACTATAATATCACTCTGGTTTATACTATTTTTTTAAAGCAGAAATAGTGTATTACCATTGTTTCTTGTTAATGTGTTTGTAAAGTATGCTTTGAGTAAAACATTACATTGTATAAAAAGTATACATTGTGTGTGTGTGTGTGTGTGTGTGTATGTATGTATGTATGTATGTGGTGTGTTGGGGTAAGTGGTGGTTGTCCTTTGAACAGCACCCAGAGTCCCCATGTGACATTCCTGACTTTGAGCTCAGAAGTGACCCCTGACCATGCTTAAGAGACTATATGTGATTCAAACTTAAGGTTATTGCCCAACTTTAAAGATTTTGCCAGTCTCATATGTGTAAATGACACCTCCTAAGGTTTTATTTGTATTTACTGAGAAAATTGTGATTTGAATTATAAACCAAAAGAAATGTAGTGTTACAATAAAAGACCATTTTCAACTTGGTTATTTATTATATTTGAATTGTGTAATCTTGCTGCGCAATGTAATTTTCTGTATTATGGGGTTTTTTTGTTTTTTTTTTAAAATCAGGGTTATCAAGGCAAAGTTCAGTGGCTTTTCACCTGGGTACCTGTACTGTTCTGAGTAGTGGTGGTTGAAAACCACCAGTATGATTTACAGATAGTAAAACTCATTTCAAAGAGATTTGACAAATTATACAATGATGTGAAACAATTTTACTTAACAAAATTAGAGAATATTTCCATTACTGCCAAGAGTAATCTTGTGTTCTGTTGTCATCATTTCTTAAGTCCTTGGCAATTACTAATCTAGTTTTGTTTTATTTGTGGGTCTAAGGATGTGCGTTGGGCCATACGTAGGGGTACTCAGTGGCTATTATTAGCTCTATGCTCAGGAATGACTCCTGGAGGTATGTAGGGGTTCTCTACCTGCAAGGCAAAGCACCTTATTTTCTGCAGTGTTTTTAGCTAATTTTTCCTTCCATGTAGTTTTTCTAAAATTTACTCAGTGCAATCAATTGTGTCTGTATCTTTTCTATTTTTCCCACAATATAGTTTTTTAAAGATAGGTCTGTGTTGTGATGTCATCTGTATTTTATTCCTTTGGGTTGCTACCTAGTATTTAATCATAGGAATCAACCAAAAATTGCTTATGTTGTCACAGTGAATTGCCATTTATCCTGTTTCTATTTGGCAGTTTCTATTTCTGTTTGGCTAGCCTATTTCTATTGACTATTGACTTTCTATTGACTACAACTATGAAAATTGATGAGAAAAGTCTTTATGTAAATAATTGTTTTTCTCTTAAGTAAATTGGAGAGAAAATATTGAGTTGTATCAATAAGTGCAAGTCAGTGGATGAATCAGCAGGCATTTATAATATTTAAACAGTATTAATGTTGTAGAATTTTAACCATGCAGAAAATCCATTATTATTTTTCTGAAGAGAGTTTCACTTACTCCCTGATCATATACCCAGGCTCCTATATTCTCCTCTCAAAATTCCAAGTTTTGCTTATACATACCAAGTGTTTGATCTCCCTGGAATTTCTATCTTCTATATATCTTGTTTTTAAATTTCCAACTCTTCCCTTTGTTTCAGTGACTCGGGATCACACCTGCTTGTGGGGCTCACATACGCTTGACTGTAGTGCTCCAGAGACCACGTACTTGTGGTGTTGCCTGGGATCCCAAAAGTAGTGCTGCTAGGGTTACACCCAGCATGTGGGGTGCTGCTGGCCCTTGGACAGAAGGCTCTGCACCGAGCCGCAGTTTGGGGCTTGTGCATAGTTCTTGTGGGAATATTATGTCTAAACATTGCAGCATGGAAGTGGAAGTCTAGGATTCTTAGAAGTTAATATCCTTAGCCGGAAAAATCTAGGTAGAGAGTGTTTTTCTTTGTTGTTGTAGTTGTTTAGCATTTGAAAGTTATCACCACATTGTCTTCTGAATTGTGTTGTTGAGGCATCATTCTGATCATCATTTCTAAATAAGTAATCTGTATTTCTTTCTGATTTTTAAGGCCTTTTTAAAAAAATCTTTTTAAGGATTTCTGTGATCTTAGAATTTTTTTTTTAATTGGGGTTGGGGGTTGGGGACTTAGTCTCACTTGATTGTACTCAGGACTTACCTCTGGTTCTATACTCAGGGATCACTCTTGGCAGTGTGCAGGGGATCATATCAGAAGCCAGGGAATGGACCTGGGTAGGCTGTGTGTAATGCAAATGACCTACCTACTGTACTCCGGCCCTAATTTTAGGTTTTTCAAAAAGGCTCAGGTATAGCCATTATTCCTGGAAGTGGATGTAAATATAGACTCTTAAATGCATAAATGAGAATTTATTCAGATTATAATTTGTTGTAATGTGACTTTATATGCCTGAATTATATTTTTTCTTTACTCTAAGTTTGAATTGGAGCTCAGTAGATAGCTAACTGTATGAGAACTCTGGGACTCCTCCCCGCTTGGTGCCTGGGAGTCATTTCTGGGGACCGAACCCGGTATTCCTGCATGCAAAGCATGCACTCTAGACCTCTGGGCCATCCCCTGGCCTGTATGAGAGTCTTTAAGATACTGAGTCAACATATTTTAAACATACTAAAATGTCATTAGTAATATTTCATGCCATTTCAAGTTATTTTGTGTTTTGACTTAAGTGCTTTGAGGGTTTAAATGCTAGAAATATAAGAATGGTACTTTTCAGATATTGTGTCATAACAAAATACAAATTGTCTAAAGCTAAGCACATAAATATGGGGGAGGAATATCAATCTTAAGGAAACTTTGTATTCTTGAAGTATAGCACTGTCTGTAGCACTGTCCTCCATTCATCGATTGGTTCAAGTGGGCCCAGTTATGTCTCCAATATGAGACTTATTGTTACTATGTCTGGCATATCAGATATGTCACGGGTAGCTTGCCAGGCTTTGCCGTGCGGGTGAAATACTTTCGGTAGCTTGCCGTGCTCTCTGAGAGGGATTCTTGAAGTATAGTTTTTTAAAATTGTCAACGAGAAGAAAGAAGAGTCAGAAGGGGATTAAGAGGAAAAAATATGTGAGAAGGAAATTGTTTTAATAGTTCTTGTTATGTCTTACAAATGAAAAATGCCAGTAAAATTTTTTTAGTGTTTACACAACACAGTTCAATACATGTGATATGGAAGGGATACCTGTCTTCTCCCCCTTGTTTTTTAGTTTGTTTTCTAGACAGTTAAGTAGTTTACCTGGTTTTGTCTATAACTTGGTCTATTTTTATTCAACAGGTGGCAGTTTTTACCATACTGATGTCTCACTCTTCGGAGAATCTACTGAGTTTGAGTATTTGCGAAAAGTGCTTTTTGAGTATATGATGGGTCGTGAGACTAAGGTATGTCTGTCTGGTGATTTGGCGTGCAGCTTAGTTTAAAAGGAAATGTGCCCTTTTAATGTTAGTGCCATGTGTTTGCTATTTGCTGACAATAAGTGCTAATAGTAAGCAACAGGTAATTGTGCTATTGCTTTTAATTTATAAAAAGTGAATTGTCAGATCTTGTATTTGTTGCATTTATAAAATATTACTTAAAACTACTGCTGGATGATGCTGAATACTGAAAATAAAATTTAGTCCTTTGGAGGGGATTTGGGTAACACTTGGAAGTTCTCAGGGACTACTCCAGGCTTGGGGGTCACTCGGGTTGGAGGTTGCTAGGGGACCATGTGATGCCAGAGATTCAGACCAGGCCCCTTGCATGCAAAGCCTGCACTCCAGACCGTTGAACCTCCTCCCAGCCCTTGAATACTTTTTGAAGCATGTGACTTTTTATTTTTGATTTCCAGTCTTAGAGGGGAATACATTTTATTCTCACAGAGTTTTAGGATAGTGTGGTTAGTATTGAAAAGTCATAAGTAAGAATGATAATGCTGAAATATTTAGAAATAGTTACTGTAAGAAAATCATTTCTATACATATTGAATAATGATCATTACAACATTACCTTACCTTGTAAGTATTAGTGCTTGGCTACTTTGTTTTCTACAAAGTTATTTTTGCTAGGTCATTGAGTGTAGAGTTTTGTGTCTTTGTCCCTTCAATATTTTTCAATGTGCATTAAATTGTATATTTGGTAAATCTTCAATGCATTTAGGAAAATACACAACTCTTTCCTTAGTTGAGATTTTTACTTTAAGGCAATTATTTTTTTAATATTATTTCAAGTCTTTTTTTCTTTATGAACTTTTATGTTGGCCATATATCTTGTCCGAGAGGGAGAGAATGTGTTTTCTATTCTTAGAAGCAACCAGTGATTTAACTGTTTGTTCTTTGGAGGTCGTTGAGTCAGGGTGCTAAGCCAGTTCAAAGCATTGATTTGGAAAGTATAAAAAAAAGTATTTGGGGCGTTAAAGCACCTCTAATGTGAACATATATCTAGAGATTATATAGTGAACAATTCATTGTCTTTCTTGCTTAAAGACCTTTAAAATTTTAATTCAAAGGGAACCCAAAAATCATTTTCTTGTTTTTAAAACAAAGATAATGAAATATCACTTTCTATATTCCATCTCTGTTGGATTAGCAGCATGAGTTTAAAGTGAGATAGATCACTTATAGTTACCTTATTATTGTAGAGAAAGGGGAAAGGTACACACAAATACACACACATGTAAGATCACGATCACGATCACGACCACCCTGTTGTTCGTTGATTGCCTCGAGCAGGTGCCAGTAACGTCTTCTTCGTCCTAGCCCTGAGATTTTTTTTTTTTTAAAGTGCCATATTCAAGGCTTTTTCAGGGTTAGGAGAATGAGACCCATCTTTGTTACTGGTATTTGGCATATTGGGTATACCACGGGGAGTTTGCCAGACTCTGCTGTGTGGGCAGGGTATATTTGGTAGCCTGCCAGTTTGACCAAATTAGGAATGAGATGATAAGATGTCATGCGGCCGCGAATGCGGCCGTGCGCTTCCAGGAGCTGAGTGTGATAATCTCTGGATCCTGGCCGTTGTTGGAGTTACATGGCAGTTGGTGGGTGTAACTGTCTAGTTACTGGCAGGTCCAGTCCCAAACCGTGCAGGCTTGGAGATCTCAGCCCCGGGTCCCACACACCTGGGTTCCTCTGCCAGTTCTTTTATGCGTGAGGCTCATCCAAGTGTGTGGAGAGTGGTCCCAGCATGGCCTTGGCTGGGCCCCGGTGGTCTTCAGCTGTTGGGCCCTGGTGGAGACAGTCAGGCATAGGGTAGGAGACTCTGCCTTGTTCTCTTCCAGGAGCTGAGTGTGATAATCTCTGGATCCTGGCCGTTGTTGGAGTGACACGGCAGTTGGTGGGTGTAACTGTCTAGTTACTGGCAGGTCCAGTCCCAAACCGTGCAGGCTTGGAGATCTCAGCCCCGGGTCCCACACACCTGGGTTCCTCTGCCAGTTCTTTTATGCGTGAGGCTCATCCAAGTGTGTGGAGAGTGGTCCCAGCATGGCCTTGGCTGGGCCCCATTTTTTTAATGTACATATTAAAAAAAAAATTAGAACAGCCTCTCAGAACTTCTTTAGCTGCTTTTTTGGTGAATCTAATGCCATGATGATTCCGGAGTTGTTCCTAAATAAATCATGTAACTTTTTCTTGAAGAGATGGGCTGCTTCTTCCATTTCCTCTGGTGGCTGTGAGACAGCCCACATCCATGTGTGGTTTGAGGTATGTGTCCCCTGGCAGTGCTAGTGCAACCACACCTACGCTTGTTTTGAGAACTCTGTTGGAGTTTTCTTGTGGCTTGGGAGACAGGGAAAGGGATGTCCTCTGCCTCTTGCAGTCTCTTTAATACCTGGAAATTCTATTGCTGAGTGCTCTCTCTGGTGTCTTTACCAACTTCATCATTCGGTGCGCTTACCTGCTTTCTACAAAGGATGAGTAGTTACATTCTAGTCTCACATTTTATTGGTGTATCTTGAAAGCAGATAGTTGGCTTAATGCACTGCATCTTTATTGAACACTTCCCGTAACTTTGCCACTCAGTTGAACGGCGGGCCTGTTCTCAGTTAAGCGAAAATGTGGTAGAACATGGTACAGGCTTTTAAGAGTGGCACGGAGTTCTCATCATTACTCATGAAAGAATATCATGGGAAAGGTGGGCGTAAAGAGGGCTTTAGATTTCGATAGATGAACTCTGCCGGGAGGAAAAGCCTAGACCCAAACAAGGCAGGAAATGGAGTGTGTTTGGAGTGGGCAGTCAGTTCTTCCCATATTAAGCGCTGAGTCTGGGAGTGTAAGTCGACAAGATCACAGATTCAGCAAATCATTTTCTGGTTTGTCCAAATTTCTACACATTAGCAAAAACTTTGAAACGGACACCAGGTTATGGTTTTAGAGTGCACCGTGGCTTTTGTGATTGTATCATGTTCAGAATCTGTGTACCATGCCATCTGTGTTTATTCATTTCTTCTTCCAGGATGTTTCTTATTTTTTGAGGCAGGTGATTTTATTTAAGGCCTGTGTGTAAGTTATATATGTATAGAATGAGTATATGTATTTTTTATTTCTGTCCTTGCACTGTTTTTCTTGAGGTTTAATCTTCTGTGCTGTTATTGACACTGAAACTCAGCCTGTTCTCCTTCTTAGTAGAACATGTTCCTCTCATAGTAGGTGGGGCATGGTAGCATTGTAAGGCTAAAACATTAATTCTTCATTCACTGTAAATCATGAGACCTTAGTAAATACATTTCATGAAAGAGACAATTTTTTTCATCCTAAGCATTCTTGAAGACACCTTTCCCTAAAAGAAACCTGGCAGAAAAGGCTGCTTCTAGGCCAGGTGGTTCATTTGAACTTTGTTTATTTCCCAGGGCCTGAGAATGCTGTGTATAGAGCAGACAGTCTAGTCTGATGGCTTTCTCAGTGTATTGCAAAGAGCCTGGCCTTATCCAGGAAAGTGTTTTCTGGTAAATTTAGAGGTGGGTTTCCCATTTCACCTTGTTTAGAAATGGGAATGTATGACTAGATACAATTTTTGTTCTGTTGTTGACAGACATGCTTGTTCATGCATGCTTATGCATGTATTTGTAATTTTAGAGTGACTATACATGGAAGTGTGGACATTTTAAATTGGTATAAGCTCTTTTAGTTAAGGAAATGCTCCCTATAATTGTGTATTTCTGAATTTTAACATTTTTGGTACTTCCTAAAGACAACCTTCATAGATTATATATCCACTAATTAGAAACCACTAATATTGCTTTAGAATCCTATTAGAAGTAATATTGAAAATGTTACCACTTGACATTTCTCTTACTGTTTTATGCTACTTATGTGTTTGATTTATGAGACTTTGGTTTAACACATATTCTTTCCTATCCAGACAATACAATTTAAAGAATGAGGGGTTTTAGAAAATGTTTTTGGAAATTTCTAAGGACTAAGGTGTTAATTCTTTTTATTATTATTCAACAAACTGTAAGCAGCAAAGATAAAAGTGAGGAGACTAAAATTAAAATTTTGTACAGCATTGATCTGTTAGTTGAAATGAGTATTAAAATATGTGAAGTATGCTTAGGCTTAGCTTGAAATAGGAATGGGGGTGGAATTAGGTGATGCTCTGGGGCTCCTCCTCGCTCTGCTCAAGGATCGTGCCTTGCAGTGCTCAGGGGCTTATAGGCAATGCGCAGGGAATCATATTTGGTGCCAGAAATAAAACCGGGGTCAACTGCATGAAAGGGAAGCACCCTGCAATGTCTCTCTGGCCCCCATAATAGGAATTTAATATACCTTATATTTTTCCCCCTTCCTATCAGTAATTATACTCTTTTCCCCTAATGATGTGAGTTTCCAAATTTTTTGGCTAATTTTATTATGCCGTCTTTTCCCTAATGACCTTCTTCAGTCTCCTTCCCCACTTTTCCCCGTACACTTGCACATGGTCTGTGTCACAGTGAACAGTGTTCAAGTCCATTCTCTGGGTGAGCCTCATCCTCCCTAGGAGTCCCCAGGCGAGCTCTAGCACCTGAATTTGTATGTAAGCACTGAACTTGTTATGCTACTTATTTTACAAGTGGTATCTTCTTTCCTCTCTGTCTCCCTCAAAACATGTCATCTTGATACAAAATAGGGACTTTCAGCCTTTGAGGAGAATTTTCTACCAGCTTATGGGTGACAATCTGATTTACGGTATATTTATTTAGATCTGCACAATTTATAATCTTGTTTTGCAAGCTACCATGTGTAATGTTTTGATTCATCATGTTTTCTACCAAAAAAAACATCTTGTGTTTATTTAAAATGTAATATGTATTTCTATTAGACTGATGTGCTGCATGTCTTAAAAAATACCTATGAAGCATGTTCATGTTCATGCAGTGGCCCGTGTTTATGAGATATATGATGTGATTTAGTTAAAGTTGAACTGGATGCTAATGAATTCTGATTATTTAGACTTTTACCTTTTGGCAACATAGCACTTACTAGATAGATTTCTATAAATAAAAAACCTTATAAAACGAATGAGTAACAAAGAGCTTCATCATCATAAGATAAAGGGCCAAGAGCATTAGAATTTATATAGCTTCATGCTATTTTAAATGGGTCTTCTTTAATATGATCAACCCAGACATTATGAGCAAGACTTTAAAATTGAAATTCTAGTATTGACTGTTATTTCCTTGACTAAGACCTTCACATCATACTTCTTTGGTCGTGGCTTCCATTGAGAGCACTAAAGAATACCACCAGCAGAACATGTCAGAATGGGTTGAAATTTCATCTGTTTCACTGTATATTAGTGACCATTTCTATTTTCTCTTGCAGACCATGGCAAAGGTTATAACCACTGTGCTAAAGTTTCCTGATGATCAGACTCAGAAAATTTTGGAAAGAGAAGATGCTCGGCTAATGGTAAGCTTTCAAAGTAGGCCTATGTAGACAGCTTTATCTCTCCTCTTTCACTGTTTTATGTACAAAGCCTTTTAATGGTTACATTTTAATTGTAGTGTAGCCTGAAAGTGACATTGAATCTCTAGTTGGCAAAGGCAAATAGGATATGTTTATAGTGTTCTTAAGTAAAGAATAACTTTTTTAATTGCATATATGCAGTTGACACTCATATGTGCTATCTGATATTTTTCAGAATTTGCAAAGGACAGAAAAGGCATTTGCGCTAGCGTATTCCACAAGTAGGGTGTGTGTGTGTGTGTGTGTCTGTGTGTCTGTGTGTCTGTGTGTTCATTCATGTGTGTGGCATGGTGCTAGGGAGTGAACCAAGGGCCCTGTACATTTGAAATACATATATGATCTACTGATGAGCTACATCTGGCTCACCAGTGATAAATTTTTTAGTTTACTTTTTAATTGATTCCAAACAGTATTGATACATACACCCATATAATTTGGGGTGGTGGGGGTGGGAACAGGGAGGCATATTTGTTGGTGTTTGGGTTTACTCCTGGCTCTCTGCTTAGGTATCACACCAGGCATTGTTCATGGGACTTTATATGGTGCCTGGCATGAGGGATCAAAGCTTGATTTATTTATTTTTTTTTCCAAAACAAGTGCCTTATCCATGTACTACCTCTCTGGCCTCCATAGAAGTAATGATTTTTAAGCCAAATTATAACAGGTTAGATGTCTTTTGAAGAATACAGTTTCTTATTCTATTTCAGCTGATTATTTTGTTGAGTCACACTGGGGAGTTCAGGCTTTACTCCTCTCCTCAGGGATCACTCCTGATGGGCAGGATTCAGGGAATCATGTGTGGTGCTGGGGATCAAACCCAAGCTGGCCACATGCAAGGCAAGTGCCCTACTTCCTATGCTATTGCTCCATCCCCTCAGTGTTTTTAAAAAATTTTTTTAGGTGAGGAAAAATTTATATTCAATTATTTTTAATTTATAATTTTTTTTAAAAAATTTATTAGTGAATCACCATGAGGTACAGTTGCAAACTTAAGAACTTTCGTATTTCAGTCATACAATAATTGTTTACCCATCCCTCCACCAGTGCCCATTCTCCTCCACCGATGTTTCCAATATCCTCCCACCACCCCCCCTCCCCACCCATGGCAGGGCATTCTCTTTTGTTCTCTCTCCTTTTGGGTGTTGTAGTTTGCAATAGAGGTATTGAGTGGCCATCGTGTTCGGTCTGTAGTCGACTTTCGGCATGCATCTTTCAACCAGAATGGGTCCTCCCAACATCCTTTACTTGGTGTTCCCTTCTCTATCTGAGCTGTCGTTTCCCCCAGCATGTGAGGATGGTTTCCAAGCTGTGGAGCAGACATCCTTGTCCTTATGTCTGCTACCTCTGGGAGTTAATCTCCCGTTCTGTTACTTTATATTCCACAGATGAGTGCAATCTTTCTATGCCTATACCTCTCTTTCTGATCTGTTTCACTTAACATGATACTTTTCATGTAGATCCACTTGTATGCAAATTTCATGACTTCATCTTTTCTAACAGCTGCATAGTATTCCATTGTGTAAATGTACCAAAGTTTCTTTAACTAGTCATCTGTTCTTGGGCACTCGGGTTTTTTCTAGATTTTGGCTATTGTAAACAGTGCAGCAATGAACATACAAGTGCAGATGTCATTTCTACTATACCTTTTTGCCTCTCCGGAATATATTCCCAGGAGTGGTATTGCTGGATCAAATGGGAGCTCAATTTCTAATTTTTTGAGAATCGTCCATACTGTTTTCCAAAAGCAGCCCCTCATTTTTAATTGCAGTAATTTCAAGTGAAATTAATATGACCAGTTTTGAGATTTGACATAGTCTATAAAGGAAATGTGAGTAACTGGATCATTATTACTTGAAGTCAGCTATGCTTAAAACATAATTCATGAATTTCGCACATTTCCCCGTGTTCTAGGCCTGTAGCAATTCAGTAAGAAGCACATTTGGGGAAATCGCAGGGAGTATTTCCCAAGCAGAGCTCAATAGGTTGATTCTCAGTCAACGAGGCGAGTGTCTGAGGATGCTGTGCTGCTCGGGTCATGTGATGTTGGGGGTACTGAGGATACCCTGGTGGTGTTCAGGGGCCTCCAGGGCCACCCCAGCAGTGCTCGGGGGTCATGTGGCACCGGGAGTCAAGTCTGAGTTGGGTTCCTACTATCTCCTTGCCCCAGTACAAAGCACGTTTTATGCATAATGCATGTCTTTGCCTTGGTCCTCTCTTTGCTTCTTTATTTTGTGTGAATAGCTTGCAGTACCTTCCGCACACCCCTCTCCCCAATTTCTATACTTATTTCACCATCCTGGTATTGCTCTTTTCTTCTCTTTAGTAAAGCAAGCAAAGATCACCTTAAATGAATTCCGGGCCTTTATTTGAGTATCTATAATACGGACTAAGTCAATAAGTAATTGCCTCCTTGTAAAGCACCCCTCTTATCTTGACAGCCTGCTTGAGCCCCAGCCTGTGTATGTGTTTACGGAGGTTGCCGGGTTGTTCTGGCTCTAAACCTTATAAAATCACCTGAGATCTGGGAGGGCCTACCTGGAAGCTTTCCCTCTCCAGACCCAAGCTCATACAGCATTTATGAAATTCCTTTCCTGTGACCCACTGCATAAGATCAGTCCTTGAAGGAATTGCCGTGCCTCAGGGACATTCTGGTCTCCTTTTCCTGACTTTTCCTAGAGTCATCCTGGTATTCAGGGCCCTTGACCTAAAATCATTCTGGGATGATGGCATTGATAGTGTTTGGTAAAGCACCTTATTCTCCCCCAACCCTCCACCCCCCACTCCGATATCAACACTCCAAAGGTCCCTCTAAGATACTTGGTTATTTGTAGAATTTAAAGGTTTTGGTTTGTTTCAGTGAAAAAAAAAAGTACCTGTAGCAGACAAAAATAAAAGAAAATGTAGACCAGGGAGATGGCTCTAAAGGCTGGAATTTAGGCTTTGCATGCAGGAGCTCTGGGGTTGCTCCCTGGCACCACACTGTCTACCCCCAGCACACCCTGCATGGCCCCCCACGTCCTGAGCTAGAAGTAGCTCCTGAATACCACTGGAATGTGCTGCCCCCTCCCCCCACCTCTCAAGAAAAAAAGAAAGATGTGCAAATAGCAGATGCATAGGCTTCAGTTTCCTCTAGAGCAAGTAGTTCAGCAGTTTATAGAAAAATGCAGGCTCTCATGTCAGGGCAGACCATCTAGTCACAGTATGTTGAGGTGCCCCATTTCTGTAATTACTTCTCTATCATTCCTTTTCATATTTTAAAAATGATAGTATGCAACAATATTCTTTTTTCACTTAATATATTTTTATACAATTTTAATTCATGACAGATAGATTTACCTCATTTAAAAAGATGGTTGATTAGATGCCCTGTAATTCACTTCACCATTTTTTTAAACCTAGGTAGTTTCTGGTTTTTTTTTTATACTTAGCAAATATAGATTCAAGGAATGTCTATATACATATATTTTACATATTTTTACAAATATTCCGATAGGATATTAACCGTGTGATGCGTGAGTTGTAATGCTATTTTTCTAGTTAGATTTTTTATGGCTTTTGTTGCATTTTACTCACCAGAATAAGTAAAATGATGCTTCTAAGTTTTGCTACCCATCCAAGAATACAGTCAGTGTTCTCCTCATTTGCTGCTGCTATTTTAGAGTAAAACATGAAGTAATCGAGAATTTATTTATGCTATTTTATTATTTATTAATTTTTTAAATTGAGATTGTGATTTACAGTGCTATTAGTAATGGTTTCTCATGCACAAAATTCCAACACAGTACTCATTCCCAGTTTACACCTTCCTGCTCCTGAGGATCTAAGGTCCCTCTCTTCCAAGTTCTCCTCCACCAACTCAGTTATATGGATCAATTCTCCCATAATATTGCTTTTGGACTCTTGTTGCTGTCTGGCTGTCTGCCTTTAAGTCCCAGAGAGAAATAGTAATTTAAGGAGTTGCTAAGGTAAAAATTATATTTAATATTGAGTCCCTTGGAACTGAAATTTTGGTTTGGTTCATTATCCTTGAAAGCACCCTGGGTAAACTGATAAATAACAAGAATTATTCAGTAATAAAACTGACATATTTTAGGATTGACAGTCAAGATTTTAGACATATGGTGTTCACATTCGTCAGCATTTCCCCCAAAACTTTTGATGGTAATTTTTAATTATGTATAAAAAATTTAATGTGTATTTTTTTGGGGGGTAGGGGGTCTGGGTTACACAGGTGATGTTTAAGGGTCACTCCTGATTCTTAACTCAGGAATTATTCATGGTTGACTTGGGGGACCATAAGGGATACTGGGGATCAAATCCAGGTCAGCCTAGTGTAAGGCAAACACCCTACTCAGCCCCTAATGTGTATTTTAATCAAATTAAGTAAATCCTTTTATAAAGTAAGTAGTTACACTAATTAATCTGATATAAAACTATGCACTTAAAGTGTTAAGTAGATCTTTATACTGTTTAAAAGTTTCAAAGTTACAAGTAAAATCTCAGCTCTATTAACTTCAGATGAGATGGGAGTATTTAAGATTTGCTTTCTCACATGAGAAAATGCTCCACATCATTAATCATCAGGGAGATGCAGATCAAAACCACAATGAGATACCATCTCACACCTCAGAGACTGGCCCACATTCAAAAGAACAAAAGCAACCAATGCTGGCGCGGATGTGGCAAGAAAGGGACACTCCTTCACTGTTGGTGGGAATGCCGACTGGTTCAACCCTTCTGGAAAACAGTATGGACGATTCTCAAAAAATTAGAAATTGAGCTCCCATTTGACCCAGCAATACCACTCCTGGGAATTTATCCCAGAGAGGCAAAAATGTATAGTCCAAGTGACATCTGCACTTGTTGTTCATTGCAGCACTCTTTACAATAGCCAGAATCTGGAAAAAAACTGAGTGCCCAAGAACAGATGACTGGTTAAAGAAACTTTGGTACATCTACACAATGGAGTACTATGTAGCTGTTAGAAAAGATGAAGTCATGAACTTTCAATGCAAGTGGTACTACTTGGAAAGTATCATGCTAAGTGAAATGAGTCAGAAAGAGAGGGATAGACATAAAATGATTGCATTCATCTGGGGGACATAGAGTAACAAAATAAGAGATTAATTCCCAAGAATATACGAGATCAGTACCAGGAGGATTACTCCATGGCTTAGAGGCCAGCTGGGCATTCTAGGGGAAAGGGCAGCTTAGATAGAGAAGGGAGCACCAAATAAAGGGTGTTGGGAGGATCCTCCCAGGATGGGAGACGCATGTTGAAAGAAGACTATAGACCAAACATGATTGCCACTCAATGCCTCTCTTGCAAACCACAACACCCAAAAGGAGAGAGAAAACAAAAGGGAATGCCCTGCCACAGAGGCGGGGTGGGATGGGGGGGGGGGATGGGAGTGGGAGGATACTGGGATCCATGGTGGTAGAAAATGGGCACTGGTGGAGGGATGGGTATTTGATCATTGTATTACCGAAACCCAAGCACAAAAATTTGTAAGTCTACAACTGTACTTCATGGTGTTTCACTAATTAAAATATTTTTTAAAAAAAGATTTGCTTTCTTCTCCTCCCTTGATTTTGGGAAGGTTTGAGACAAACAGCCTATTTTATCCTATGAAGTTTATATACACCTATAATTTGTTTGTAATATTAAGTCGTAAAACTAACCCAATAAGCTTTTTTTCTTCCTGGCTTTGTAGTATACTTCACCTCGCAGTGGTATCTTCTGAGTAAACCATCAGTCTGTGCTTAGTTAGCATGTGGTGAGTGAAGAATAACATGTCCTGTGTCTTTTGTGCAAAAATCAAATGTATTGCATGCTACTAACCATCTCCCTGGATTTCTTTTGTTCTTTCTTTTAGTAATTATATGTTTGATTATGCTTTGGGTTAATATGGGTATTTTCTATTCATTCTTAATGATTAATACTAATGAATGAATAATCAGTATCATTAGTAAGGAGTCTTAAAATTCTAGGAAATTTTATTTCTCTAAATTGTAGTTGAAATTTCCAGAATTGTACTTGAAAATTTTGTCAAGGAATACCAAAAGGAATCTATGTATTTTCTATTCTTTTCTTTATTAATTTCCCAAGAATGGTATTCAAAGCTAAAGATTGTGAAAGAGGGAAATAAAAAATGTTTTAGATAAAGTGGAAGGATATATTTCATGAATCCAGAAGTTAAAATCTCTTTACCATATAGATGAGTCAGAAATAACAAAAACTAGTATTATTGCTTGTAATATGTGTGTTATTGTCTTAGGATCACACATTGACCATGTTTGTCCTGATGAGAACCTTAGGTACCCTGATTTCTCTGAATGTGATTGTTTATAATTAACATTATTGCAGCGAAATGAAGGCAGCTGAAGTGTTCTATATTGTGGTTGGCTGTCTTCACCATTTAGACACCCCTTCAGTAACTTCCACATGTTTATAATAGCTTCTTTTAGCACCCCCAAAATTGAGGGTACATTTTAACCACAAACATTCCTAGAATTTTCACATGTCACAAATAAGATAGATTATAATCTTATAATTAAAATGTATAATTATGACTATAATTCTATAATTATAGTCTTATAATTAAAGATTCTCTGTGGCCATTAATTCAGCAAATACTCAGCTAGCAGTATCAGAGTTTAAAATGCCAGTATGCAGCATTTCTCTTTTCAGCTTTTTAGCTCTAAAAATCCATTGTGCAGGGGCTGGAGCAATAGTACAACAGGTAAGGCACTTGCCTTGCATGTGACCAACCCTCACACCACATGTGGTCCTCTGAGCCGCATCAGGAGAGATTCCTGAGCACCTCCAGGTGTCGTCCCTAAACAAAATATTCTTTATGCCTACATTTGAATTTCACTTTGCTTTTAATGTTTGTGTCAATTAACTTGTTCTAATGATGTGTCTGTAACAGTGTTTCCTGAAGTGGGCAGTATTGCCTTGTACAGGTTGCTGGAACAGTTCAGGGAGGAAGCTAGTGGCCTCTGGGTGAATTGGGAGGCCAAGTAAATTTGGGAATCTTTGATTTAGAGCTATCATTTGCCATGTAAGTCCCATATTAAACCAAATAATTCCTGGGATTTTCTTTCTTTCTTTTTTTTTTTTGATACTCCCATAGCTACTACATTTATGTTTGTTGATAAATCACTGCATTTCAATGCTGTCATTTGCCACTGAGAATAGATACCTTGCAGCATTTCTACTGATTGTCTACCTTCTCCTCTTTTAGTTTGGAGAATTTCAAATTTAGGATTGCAAACATATGGGCCAGAAAGATAGCACAGTGCGGAGTAAGGCTTTTGCTAGGACCCAGAACAGGAGTAAGCACTGAGGATAGCTTGATGTGCTCTCCCCGCCCCCAGCCACCTCCGCCCCACCCACACCCAAAAGATTACAGATAGCACAATGGATACCCTCTTGCTTTTTCTATCTGTCTGTCTGTCTGTCTGTCTGTCTGTCTATTCTCTCTGTAACATTTGACAGGTATTCACTAACATTACATTTACAAGTATTTGACAATTAATTGCAAGTACAAACTAGATCCTTTTTATCTCATGTCTAAAACAAGAATACTTTTCTACATAACTATACAATAACAGAAGTTGCCATTTTCTAGTATGGATGTAGTAAATAATTCACGTTTTCCCATAATTTCTTTCATATTTTTTTAGATTCCAGGTCCTTGTGTTTCATTGTCATGTTTTTTTTCCTAGTTTATTTCAAACTAGAAAGGTTCTCACTAGCCATACTGTCTTTCATGACCTTGATATTGTTCAACAGGATTGAATCCTGCATGATTTTTTTTCCTGCTCTAGCAAAAGTTTTGCCTTGTACAGGTTGCTGGAACAGTTCAGGGAGGAAGCTAGTGGCCTCTGGGTGAATTGGGAGGCTAAAGTTCCAGAGTTGTGACAAAGAAGTTGAAATATAGCAGAAACTTTTCTTATCTTCTCTAGGTTTTGAGGGTCAACATGATTGTAGTCAGTTTTATAAATATGGTACTGAGGGTATATTATCAATAGTGGTTTGCTTATAAATTGAGAATTTAAAACTTTCCACTGAAATACTATGGAAAGTTTCTCTTTTTGCTTTATGTTTTCAGTTCATTTATTTTTATGAGTTTTTAAGGAACTTTTTTAATTTGGGAGGGGGCACCTTTCTAGAAGAGCATGGGGCCCAGAGGCTACCCCTGGAGATGCTTGGTTGGGCTGTGCGGCCCCAGTGGGTGTGTCTGGCACTGCCTTCTGCTTGTTGCTGTGGCCACACCCTGCCCTGGTGTCAGCGCCCTGTGCAGGCGAGAGTGTGCTCCCACTCTTCACTCTGTCTTCTCACTCAGCTTGCCTGGATTTTTTTTTTTAAGCCTTCAAACTGCAATCTGAAGGTTTAGCATCCTTTCTCATTGTATTTCAAGGTGTTTTGTTTTTAAATTAAGTCTTTTTATTTTAGAAGAAAGCTTTTCTTATCAAAATGCTGTTTTTTGCTGCCACCCTTCCAGGCATTTCCATACACCATACTCCATATGAAAATCAGCACTTTGGGGACAAGGGAAGAATTCTTTCCTCTTAGCTCCAGACTGAGGAGCTGCAGCCCTGTGAGAGGCTCGAGGTCATTATGTTACTCTGATGGTTCTCTCGGTATGGCTGAATAATTCTTCAGCCAATGATGCAGTGCCTGACTCCACTGTGAACAAACACACACACACACACATGCATGCACATGCGTGCACACACACATGATTTTCCTGATTGCTGACTCTTTGATGACTATAGGTCATCATGTTACTCTGATGGTTCTCTCGGTATGGCTGAATAAGCCTTCACACAACGATGCAGTGCCTGACTCCACTGTGAACACACACGCACACACATGTGCACACACGCATGATTTTCCTGATTGCTGACCCTTTGATGACTGCAGGTCATCATGTTACTCTGATGGTTCTCTCGGTATGGCTGAATAAGCCTTCACACAACGATGCAGTGCCTGACTCCACTGTGAACACACACGCGCACACACACACACACGATTTTCCTGATTGCTGACTCCTTGATGACTACAGGTTAAATCAGACAAAAAAAATTAAGTTTTAGAGGATTCCTTTAGTGTTTGGTGTACTTCTCCTTTATTCCTAAACCATAGAATACAATTCTATTTTAAAGGAAAGAAACAAATTGGCCTCCAAAGTTGTTTCTTAATGTTTTTTCTTCTTATCCTCTTTTCTTTTCCAGTCCTGGCTCCGACCTTCAACTTGATGAGCTGGGAAAGTGACAGTGGGCAAGAGTGGAAATCTGCACTTTGCTGTTCTCCAAGAATGAAGCTGGCATTCAGGGCCCCTTGGGAAGCCAGGAGACCAGGGACACTCGGACATGGGTCCGCACAGATGTGCAGCCTGCCTTTAAAATAGACTAACTCAGTGCAGACTTGGTAACAGTCATTGTTTCAGATTTTTTTTGCTTCGGTTGGTAAGAGTTTTATGTTGTTTAAAAGATTTTGAATAACTTAACCTGGTTTATGGGCTCACTTAATGTTCCTTTTTTCATTCTTCTTGTCCCTCTTTTTAAAGAGCTGCTTGCCTTTCCTATTTATTTTTAGAATGATTTTTAAAAAAAACTTGTGCAATACATTTTGAGGTGAAACTTAGTGGATTTTTTCCCTGATGAGTTAGAGCATTTAATTGACTACTTTATCCTGATTGATTTGTTGAATACTTGCTAAAGACTAGTTCTTTAAGCTTTGACATATGATAAATCCAAACAGCAGTACCTCATTGTTTACCTAGCTTTTGTACTTATATTTTTCAGAGGAGAAAAATACTACTGTAAATTGTAAATAGTCAATACATAAACTGTATTGTATGCAAATTTGTGACTTGGCAATGTCATCTTGGAAAAACAGATAAATAAAGTTTATTTACTATATAAAATTTTTTGACTGTTCTCCTTCTTGAATTGAAATCAATTTCAAAGTAAAAACTTTAGGTTCTAGGTAGGTAACATAAGGAGGAACTATTTGTCAGGGTGACTAAATGCAGAACATTTCTAACTATTTTAAAAATTAATTTTTTGAGGGCTCCTATGAGGTGTTCAAGGGAATAAAGGGTCCCGCCAATGATTCTTGGTCAGCTGAGGGGTTACCTGGGCTGTCCCAGAGGTATTCTGGGTAGGATCAGCCACTTGCAGAGAATGTGCCATATCCCCTGTACTATCCCTTCAGACCCTCGAAAGTTTTTTTTTTTATCACATTCAAAATTAGCATTACTCCATATTAGAAGTAGCACTGCACTGTAGCACTGTCCTCCCGTTGTTCATCGATTTGCTCGAGCGGGCCCAGTAACATCTCCATCATGAGACTTGTTACTGTGTTTGGCATATCGAATACGTCACGGGTAGCTTGCCAGGCTTTGCTGTGACCAAATTAGAAGTATGGACAAAAAGGGAACACTTCATAGTATGTAATTTAGAATTCTGTCAATTTAGGGGGACAAGTGTATCAAAAAGAGTATAGAGGTCAGCAAACTTTCTCTGCACAGGGCTATAGAGGAACTATTTGCATTTTGTAAGCTATAGAGTCTGTGTCACAGCATCTTAGCTCTGCATCTATGGTATGAAAGCAGAGACAATACATATATGAATGCACAAAGCTATGTTCTAGTCAGATTGTCTTTCCTAAGTACAGGTAGTGCGTTGGATTAGGCTTGCGGGTCAGAGTTTGCTAGCTGCCAAGAAAACCAGCAAGCTGGATTTGAAGTGTGGAGTCAAGGAGAAGACATGGTCATCTGTGACTACATAAGAGTAGCTCATCTTTCTTCACTGCAGCCTGCAATTCCTCTTTTTGAAAAAGGTGCAGCAAATTCAGGGAGTTCAATACATTCCAAGTAACTTGTTCCAGTGAGAAAGAGAAAGCCTCACATTGTGCTCAGCGCTTCAGGTCAGTCTTGACCCCGTCTTGAAAGTCCCTTGTTACCACGACCCTGATTGATGCCTAGGAAAAGGCAGCTTTTCCAGTAAAGTGGAGGGATGTGTGGATGTCTTTGGACCTTGACTGTCATTCTCTGGTAAATACTGCAGACTAAGAAACAGATGGGTACCAGTTAAGGGTCAGTGCAGGGCCACAGAGTGAGTGAACTGCCATCCCAGGCTTCGGTCCAGATGCTCAACACTGAATCCAAGACTCTTTCCAAAACCTCATGCCTGCAGCACACAAAACAGTTGATGCAGTAAAATTATAGCCAAGAAATAAAACAATGCACTCTGAAAGGTAATAGATGTTGGCAGGATGGTACTTTTGAACATCCTTAGAGCAAAAATTTTGCTCGTATCTATGATAGCACAGCGGGTAGGGCGTTCGCCTTACATGCGGCCAACATGGCCGACCGGAGTTCGATTCCTCCGCCCCTCTCGGAGAGCCCGGCAAGCTACCGAGAGTATTGGATATGCCAGACACAGTAACAACAAAGTCTCCAATGGAGACGTTACTGGGCCCGCTCGAGCAAATCGACGATCAACGGGAGGGCCTTTACCTTTTACCTTTTATGGTAGCACTGTCCTCCTGTTCATTGATTTGCTGGAGTAATGTCTAACGAGTAACCAGTAACATCTCCATTGTGAGACTTGTTACTGTTTTTGGCATATCGAATACATCGTGGGTAGTTTGCCAGGCTTTTGCCGTGTGGGCGGGATACTCTTGGTAGCTTGCTGGGCTCTCTGAGAGGGACAGAGGAATCGAATCTGGATCGACCGTGTGCAAGGCAAACACCCTACCTGCTGTGCTATCACTCCAGCCCGGATCTATGGTATTTATTTTTAATTTAGGACTGTCATTTACATTGGAATTAATTTTAAGAGTCACTTCAGATCTGATGAGTCTTGTTGACTTGAATTTTAGTCTGTTGGGGTGCTGTGACAAATACTGAAAGAGGGTGGTTGTTTAAACAGGCAGTTATTTCTCATAGTTCTGGAGATTGGTGTCCGCCAGCCTGGGATGGGCCAGCTCTGAGTTTGTGAGGACCTGTCTCTCTGCGCCTAGCTCCGCATGTAGATTCACAAGAGAGAAGAGCTCTCATGGATTGCCTGTGCATCTATTTACTGCATCATGAGGGTTCAGTCCTCTTGACCTAATCCCTTCCCAAAGATTCCTCTCTCCTAGCATCACCATGAGGGCTAACTTTGAACTTAATTGTGGAGGAAGATGTACAGAGGTTAGAGCACTTACCTCACATGCTCTTGACCCGGGTTCGATTCCCCAGAGTGCATGCTTCTCTGGCATTACTGGGTGTCAGGAGACTGGAGACCCCTGAACACCCAGAGGTGGGTGGGACTCTGGGTGGAACCCCTGGTATCCCCAGCACCACAGGACCTGGGTGTCACCGCATCCTTAGACTTTTGCACTGACCCACTGTCCCAGTTGTCTGAGAATCACTAGTGGGAGCCCTAGACCACCTGAGTACCATTGGGAGGCCCTTTTAATAAGAAAGAAAATGACCAAGAACAGTGAGTGGGAGGGAGGGCACTGTCGGAGCTGTCGAGCATCTCCCTCCTCTCCCCAGGATTGACTGGGGAATGAGTGTGGAGCAGTTCCCCACACAGACTCTGCCCCACCTACCCTTTGCCCCCCAGTCTCACAAGCCCCAGGTGTGGGAGAAGCAGGCTTGATAGGAGCTGTGAGCTGCTGGGAAATCCCCTTGGAATGGATGATGAACTGAGCCTCTTAGGGCACCTGTGGCAGCTTTTTCTCAACCCTGGTCTCTTGTCTCATGCCAGCGGGGCATAGAGTGAACCACTGAGTTCAGCAACTTAAAATAAGCCCCGGGGTTCAGCTCCAGAGCATGGGCTGGTCCCCGACTCAGGCTGCACATTGCTGACCTGGCGGGGCTTGGTCACATGCTGGGGGGCGGGGACTGAGGCTGAGGGAGGCGGGACCTGCTGCTGTGGGTCTGTGAGCCTCTGCCTGCTGGGCTGCGGTGTGGTGTACCACCGCAGAGGGCGGGGATCCACACAGCCACACTGCAGCTTCCGCTTCCATCGCGACCATCGCAACTGGCACCAGACTCAGGATGGAGATGTGGGAAATCCACACTACCCACACGTCACGTGGTAAGAGGGGCTTGTGCAGGGAGACGGTGAAGTTTGGGGGTTGGAGGGGCCTCTTCAGTAGTCCACCACCAGTCAACCAAGTTCATACATGACAGCAAAACTTTGTCATCACATGGTAAATGGTGTCTTCAAATTAGGCTTCATGAAGCCCTTGCGTTGCCTGGGGAGGACTAAGGCTGCACTCTGGAGCACCTGCCTTCCCGTGTGCTCTGGCCCACTTCTTTTTGTTTCATATTTTGAGGTGATACACAAGATTTTAAACCACAATGTCTAAAATAATTTCTTTTTTAAAAAAATTTGTTTGTAAAGGGAATACCCTGCCACAGAGGTAGGGTGGGATGGGGGAATGGGGGGTGGGAGAGATACTGGGACTGGTGGTGGTGGAGAATGAGCACTGGTGGAGGGATGGGTATTCAATCATTGTATAACTGAAACCCAAGCAAAAAATTTTTAAGTCTACAACTGTACCTCATGGTGTTTCACTAATAAAAATTTAAGGAAAAAAAATTTTGTTTGCAAAAGTATTTTGCCACCAAAAAAGCTCTATAAAACATTCTCTTCCTGAATAGACTCAAATTACCAGGAAAAGGGACTAAATACTTTTTTTTTTTTTAATTTTGTTTGCAAAAGGATTTTGCCACCAAAAAGCTCTACAAAACATTCTCTCCTTGAACAGACTCACTCCACCGGGAGAAGGGACGGGTATCCCCAGCCCTGCACAGCCTCCATGCTAGGCTCATCTGTGCCTTAGGCTTTCTTCAGAGAAGGAGCTTCGAGGAACCCATGATCCCTTACAACTGCCTTACAAGTCGCCTACTTGTAAGAAATTGCTTTTATAGCCAGGTACTTGGGAAAATGTGAGCATAATTTCCTCTCGGACTATGAGCACTGCACCTTGAGCCTCTGTTTACACAGTTACCAGCATAATTTTGAATTTTGAATTAAATATGAATGTTACAGTGAAATTAGGTCATAGTTCTAATCTTACGGGGTTACTTGTGTTTGTAAGATTATTTGACATATTAAATTAGCAAATAAGTTATCCCAGGGATTGATTTTTGTTTTGTTTTGGGGTGACGTGATGCTTGTTTGGGGTCGGTCATTCCTGGCGGTGCCAAGAACAGGACCCAGGCCTTTCACATGCAAAGCCTGAGCTCCAATCTACCGAGCCCTCCATCCCTTCTGGCCCCCGGGGGATTTGTTTTTAAATTTATGGTCAAAGGATTAGTTTAGATTTGTGATTTTAAGCTGAATCTTTATCATAGGAATGTAGAGCAACATTGGAATATTTATGATATCTTAATAAACCCCTGTTATAAGTTTACTCAGATTTATCATCTTGGGTAAATAAGTAGTTATTTACATGAAAGGCTTTTTGAATCAGGTAAATAGGTGAAATAAAGATAATAAAGTATGATGAACTCTTTAAAACTTTTGAAGGGAATTTCAAACGTTAAAAGGAATTTAATGCAATTTTAAAACCTCCCTCAAACAATTGCTTGAAGTTTGATAGATTTATAGTTAACAATAATTAGATTTCTAAGCTGAACTTAGTTTTAAAAGGCTCGTACATTGTGGCATTAATAAATCTTTAAAAATTAGTCCTCTAAAGAAACTTTCTCAAATCTCTCTGCAGATATTAATAACAAAAGAAATTTTTCTTCTTTATCTCAAAGCCTTGTTTTTCCTTAGGCAAGTTGTTCTTTTATTTATTTTTTATTTTTTGTTTTTTAATTTATTTATTGAATCACCATGAGAGCAGTTACAAAGCTTTCAGGTTTAAGGCTTGGTCATACAATAATGAAACATCTGTCCCTTCACCACC